TGTACTGTGGTGTGGTGGTGGTGGTGTGTGTACTGTGGTGGTGGTGGTGGTGCTGTGGTACTGTGGTGGTGGTGGTGGTGGTGTGTACTGTGGTGGTGGTGGGGTGCACTGTACTGTGGTGGTGGTGGTGTGGTACTGTGGTGGTGGTGGTGGTGCACTGGTACTGTGGTGGTGGTGGTGGTGGTGTGGTGGTGTGGTGGTGTGTGCTGGTGGTGGTGGTGGTGGTGTGGTGGTGGTGTGTGTGGTACTGTGGTGGTGGTGGTGGTGTGGTACTGTGGTGGTGGTGGTGGTGGTGGTACTGTGGTGGTGGTGGTGGTGTGTACTGTGGTGGTGGTGGTGGTGGTGGTGGTGGTGGTGGTGTGTGGAGTACTGTGGTGGTGGTGGTGGTGGTGTGCTGTGGTGGTGGTGGTGGTGTGTGTGTACTGTGGTGGTGGTGGTGTGTGTGTGGTACTGTGGTGGTGGTGGTGGTGGTACTGTGGTGGTGGTGGTGGTGGTGTGTGGTGGTGGTGGTGTGGTGGTGTGTGGTGGTGGTGGTGGTGTGTGTGCAGTTGGTGGTGGTGGTGGTGGTGGTGTGTACTGGTGGTGGTGGTGGTGGTGGTGGTGTGGTGTGGTGTGGTGGTGGTGGTGGTGGTGTGTGGTACTGTGGTGGTGGTGGTGGTGTGTGTACTGTGGTGGTGGTGGTGGTGGTGGTGTGGTACTGTGGTGGTGGTGGTGGTGGTGGTGGTGTACTGTGGTGGTGGTGGTGTGTGGTGGTACTGTGGTGGTGGTGGTGGTGGTGTGGTGTACTGGTGGTGGTGTGGTGGTGTGTGGTACTGTGGTGGTGGTGGTGGTGTGTGTACTGTGGTGGTGGTGGTGGTGGTACTGTGGTGGTGGTGGTGGTGGTGTGGTACTGTGGTGGTGGTGGTGGTGGTGTGGAGTACTGTGGTGGTGGTGGTGGGTGTGGTGCTGTGGTGGTGGTGGTGTGGTGTGGTGTACTGTGGTGGTGGTGGTGGTGTGTGTACTGTGGTGGTGGTGGTGTGTGTACTGTGGTGGTGGTGCTGGTGTGTGGTGGTACTGTGGTGGTGGTGGTGGTGGTGTGTGGTGGTGTGGTGGTGGTGGTGGGTGTGTGTACTGTGGTGGTGGTGGTGGTGTGTGTACTGTGGTGGTGGTGGTGGTGTGTGGTACTGTGGTGGTGGTGGTGTGTGGTGGTGCACTGTGGTGGTGGTGGTGTGTGGTGGTGCTGTGGTACTGTGGTGGTGGTGGTGTGTACTGTGGTGGTGGTGGTGGTGGTGTACTGTGGTGGTGGTGGTGTGGTGTGTACTGTGGTGGTGGGTGTGTGGTGGTGGTGGTGTACTGTGGTGGTGGTGGTGGGGTGTGTGTACTGTGGTGGTGGTGGTGGTGTGTGTACTGTGGTGGTGGTGTGTGTACTGTGGTGGTGGTGGTGGGTGTGTGTACTGTGGTGGTGGTGGTGTGTGTGTGTGGTGGTGGTGGTGGTGTGTACCGTGGTGGTGGTGGTGGTGTGTGTACTGTGGTGGTGGTGCATTGACCTCCTTGTTGATTCCCGTCTGTATCTTCTATGTTGTGATCATGTCTTCTTTCTACTGACCTCCAGAGTTGCAAGGCTTGTGTTTTGAAGCTTCTAACTATGGTGTTAAGGTGAACTAGGCCATTACACTGGTCTAACCAACGTTTGATTATATCGCTGACACAATACACTATCCCCGTGGAAATAAGAGGACGTATTTTTGTTGTATTTTGTTTTGCAGACTATTGTATTTTGTGGTGATGGCATATATGGTGATTATGGTGCGTGGTGACCCATAGTCACCCTCCTGTAGTGATGGTGAGGCTCCTCCTGGCCGCAGTGATGGTGACGGGGAGAACTGGTATGAACTTACTGCGCAAGTCATGGTGAAGGGTCGACTTGTGTGTGGATGGTGAGACATTACGGGCTTGGGACCAGTGGTATAGTGGATAGTGCCCGGCCAAAATAGCTGGACTTGATGAGGATGGTGGCAGTGATGCCCGGTGATGATGGTGCGTGGCTGTGAACATTGACAGTGACAAGAATATCACGACCAAGCCAAGATGATGATGGTGATGATGGTGGTGGTGGTGATAATGAAGGCCCGTGCCGACCATGATGGTGAAGGATGATGGTGTAGCGACATGAGGGAGAGGGAGGAGGAGGAGGTATAGTGATGGTGGGGTGCTGCTGCTGCTGCTCCAGCTGCTGTGAGTGATGGTGCGCTGCTGCTACTGCTGCTGCTCCTGCTGGCGGCTGCGGGAGGCCTACCTAGCCACCACCACCACCCGTCCCCCTCACACAGGTACTGTTCTTCTTGCCGCCATATCCACCCCTATTTTCCACCACCACCCGTCCCCCTCACACAGGTACTGTTCTTCTTGCCGCCATATCCACCCCTATTTTCCACCACCACCCGTCCCCCTCACACAGGTACTGTTCTTCTTGCCGCCATATCCACCCCTATTTTCCACCACCACGCGTCCCCCTCACACAGGTACTGTTCTTCTTGCCGCCATATCCACCCCTATTTTCCACCACCACGCGTCCCCCTCACACAGGTACTGTTCTTCTTGCCGCCATATCCACCCCTATTTTCCCACTATGTTGACATTAAATTTTTCCCATTAAACACCTATCATTGCCGGTATAGGGGAAGCCTTGTCTTCCACATGGAGCAGCGTGGAGAGGCTGGTGACGTAACAGTGAGAGGGCCTCGTCACATGGTTTCAACACCCAATAAATAAACAGGGAACGTGTCGATCTGTTCACCGCTAGTTTGGTAACATTGGCCGCTCTATGTGTTCCAGCTGATGTGTATTGAAGTTAGGATTGTCTTCAATATCTCTTCCTGTCAGTCAAGGTAGTTTTAAACGACCAGTGGTGTCATTGTTGTCACTTGGTGGTGTTGCGTTAAGCGGGTTGTAAATATGAGGAAGTGCGCGAGTCGTGCGTGGGGGTGGTGTGCAGGCACTCACGCTCTACCAGGCCGTCATTGGTGAGTGCTTTAAGGAAGTGTGTCATGGGCTGCCTGCCGGCCGGCCTGCCTGCCTGCTGGCCTGCCTGCCGGCCTGCCTTCTCACGGCTGCTTCCCCTTCACAACAACCTTCTCTATCCTCTACTTTACAGTACCCAATATGTGGGTATACGTTCATGCTGAGGGTCACGGTCCGATACAGCCTGGTGGTCCGTTACCCACACCCACAGCCTTGCCTGTGGCCAGGTTTGCAGTGTTGCTGTGTGGTGGAAGGTGTCTCCGGGGTGTGACCCCACATTAGGCGGGACCAAAGAGCCGAAGCTCAACCCCCGCAAGCACAACTAGGCGAGTATATTAATGAAACATGGGTACGGACACGTACTGATACGTACAGTACCGTGATGGTCCCCTCAAGTGCGTGTGTACTTTCGCACTTGTAACCAATCACTGAGCCTACCTTCCAGGGTTGGGTGTTAGCTCCTGGAACCCATTCCCAGACACTTTTCTCTCTCCCCGATAACTGGTATGGCTCCGGGGAAGGGAAGGGAATGTTCAGGGGAAAGCGCCAAGCTATCACCACTAAATAGCACTGGGAAGGGGTCAGGATAAGGATTTGGGATGGTACGGAGGGGCAGGAATGGTGCCCAACCACTTGTGGACAGTCGGGGATTGAACGCCGACCTGCATGAAGCGAGCCCGTCGCTCTACCGTCCAGCCCAAGTGGTTGGGCCGAGGTCGGGTGAAGCAATAGGGGGTATGATGTGAGCCGTGAGGCAGCGGAGGTCATACAGGTCAGCCAGGGACGTTATCTTGAGAGTTATCTTGAGATGATTTCGGGGCTTTAGTGTCCCCGCGCCCCGGTCCTCCACCAGGCCTCCACCCCCAGGAAGCAGCCCGTGACAACTGACTAACACCCAGGTACCTATTTTACTGCTAGGTAACAGGGGGCATGAGGGTGAAAGAAACGCAGGAGGAGAGGTCAGCCAGCACTCGACCTCTTCACCACCAACATTTCCTGTACTGAACACTGCGTGGTGACGCTCCACGCGGCTGGCGTCACTCTCCAACCCGTTCTCGCACTTTCGTATAGTCAATATTGACTTATTAAATAAGTGCATATGTGACATACTAATGTATTGTGAATATTTTAGTTTACCTTGAAAAGCTTCATACAAAACACCAACCTTACCTAACCTTCTTAGTATGTTAAGATAAGCATCATATCGCTCCGTAATTACAATTATTACTTAACCTATTATAGGTATAGTTAAGTAATAATTGTAATTACGAAGCAATAAGATGCTTATCTTAACATACTAAGAAGGTTAGGTGAGGTCGGTGTTTTCTATGAAGCTTTTCAATGTAAACTAAAATATTCACAATAAATTAGTATGTCACACATGCACTTATTAAATAAGTCAATATTGACTAAAAGTGCGAGAACGGGTTGGACTCTCACTACACCAATCTTGCCAACATTTACACTCGTCAGGAGCCTGATTCACGAAAGCACTTACGCAAGCACTTACGAACGTGTACATCTTTCCTCAATCTTTGACGGCTTTGGTTACATTTATTAAGCAGTTTACAAGCATGAAAACTTGCCAATCAACTGTTGTTATTGTTATAAACAGCCTCCTGGTGCTTCGGAGCTCATTAACTGTTTAATAATTGTAAACAAAGCCGGCAAAGTTTAAGAAAAGATGCACAGGTTCGTAAGTGCTTGCGTAACTGCTTGGTGAATGTGGCTGCAAGTATTCGTGACCCAGAAGACCTCATATGCAGTACAGGATGAAGGGAAGACAACTTCCAACTACTGACAAAAGTTAACACTTAAGACTGGACATAACTAGACCTCTTAACACCAGAGGCACACAACAGGATAACGAGGAGGGGAGGGGCATCATGTGTTATCCTGCCAACCGTCCGGTTATCCTTCACCACTTTTGACAAAGATCTCACCCCGAGCGCTGTATACCTCCTGTGTGAGACCTATTATTTATAGTTTGCTGCCCCGGCATGGAACCCCTTCCTAAAAGCAAATTAAAATGTAGGTATGAAGAACGCCTGAAGGAACTGGAGCTCACTAGAGAGCTCAAGGGAGCCGGTCGGCCGAGCGGACAGCACGCTGGACTTATGATCCTGTGGTCCTGGGTTCGATCCCAGGCGCCGGCGAGAAACAATGGGCAGAGTTTCTTTCACCCTATGCCCCTGTTACCTAGCAGTAAAATAGGTACCTGGGTGTTAGTCAGCTGTCACGGGCTGCTTCCTGGGGGTGGAGGCCTGGTCGAGGACCGGGCCGCGGGGACACTAAAGCCCCGAAATCATCTCAAGATAACCTCAAGATAACCACTACTCTGGACGTTTCCAGGTTCCAGTTATGTGTGCTCGTTCCACTGTGGTTTACAGTAATATGAACATTGCTTCTATATCTGCTTTGTTGGTGCCTCCCTTAGTATCTTCGTTAGCGTGTCTGACCGTCTTCTGCCAGAGCTGTGTGATCCAGTTCCGGACAGTCTCTTCACAAGGCTCCGTCCAGGACCGTTATGTGACGGTTTCCGTCCATCCTGGACCGTTATGTGATGGTTTCCGTCCATCCTGGACCGTTATGTGATGGTTTCCGTCCATCCTGGACCGTTATGTGACGGTTTCCGTCCGTCCTGGACCGTTATGTGACGGTTTCCGTCCATCCTGGACCGTTATGTGACGGTTTCCGTCCGTCCTGGACCGTTATGTGACGGTTTCCGTCCATCCTGGACCGTTATGTGACGGTTTCCGCCCGTCCTGGACCGTTATGTGACGGTTTCCGTCCGTCCTGGACCGTTATGTGACGGTTTCCGTCCGTTATGTGACGGTTTCCGTCCGTCCTGGACCGTTATGTGACGGTTTCCGTCCGTCCTGGACCGTTATGTGACGGTTTCCGTCCATCCTGGACCGTTATGTGACGGTTTCCGTCCGTCCTGGACCGTTATGTGACGGTTTCCGTCCGTCCTGGACCGTTATGTGACGGTTTCCGTCCATCCTGGACCGTTATGTGATGGTTTCCGTCCATCCTGGACCGTTATGTGATGGTTTCCGTCCATCCTGGACCGTTATGTGATGGTTTCCGTCCATCCTGGACCGTTATGTGACGATTTCCGTCCGTCCTGGACCGTTATGTGACGGTTTCCGTCCGTCCTGAGACCGTTATCAAGCTATTCCAGTTTTGACAATGTTGCTTTGAATGTTTTGTTTATTGCACTTTACACATTTATTTCTGTAATAATTGTGTATCTGTACTTAAAAGGTAGAATATGTTAGGTCATATGGCTCGAGCACATTCAGTAATCACATCCGCAGCATGATGGGAAAAATGTACATGACTAACTACTCTTGTATATATATAAATAAATAAATAAATTAATAAAATAAAGGGGGCTTAGGGAGGACCATTACACTGAAACCTGGCAGCGTCGCTCCGTAGACTTAGCCAAGACTGTAAACAGTTTCGTAGAGAAAGAGCCAAATAATTTCCTGGACACAATATTGGTAATGAATGTTAAACGTCAAGATAATTGTACTCATTTAGTGTACAATTATATGTTGTACTCAGAGTTAATTTTATATGAAAGTTAGGCGAAATGGGCGGAGACTGAAGTTACAAGAAGTCGGCGATCTTGGCGCCACGTCGACTTCCTCTGGCGTCACGAAGACTTCCTCTGGCCTGCAGATTCCCGAGTCTATTGGGCTCTGTTATACCTACATTTGAAACTGTGTATGGAGTCAGCCTGAACCACATCACTGCCTAGTACATTCCATTGAGGAAACTAGATTGTTTCCTCCAAGGAGTGCTGGGCTGTGGTGGGTATGTGGGCCTGAGGGCCGCTCCAAGCAACAGCCTGGTGGACCAAACTCTCACAAGTCAAGCCTGGCCTCGGGCCGGGCTTGGGGAGTAGGAGAACTCCCAGAACCCCATCAACCAGGTATCAAGCAGGATTAACTACTCTGACACTGAAGAGGTTCTTTCTAATGTGTGTGGGGCTCATTTGGGTACTCAGCTTACACCCATATCCCCCTGTGCAAGTACCACCCGTGTTAAATAATATTTTATCTACCCTATCAATTCCCCAGAGAATTTTGTATGAGGTTATCATGTTCCCCTGAACTCTTGTGTCTTCCAGCGACGTGAGGTGCGATTCTCACCACCTTTCCTTGTAACTCATACCTCGTAAGTTATGGGACTAGTTTAGTGACATACCTGTGAACCTTCTCCAGTGTATGTAAATTACCTAAGTGTAGTTAGGTTGTTTCTGCCTCCCCAGTGGAGGCGGAGTATAGTTTTTTTTCACCCTGATGCCCCTGTTGACCTAGCAGTAAATAGGTACCTAGGAGTTAGACAGCTGCTACGGGCTGTTTCCTGGGGGGTGTGTAACAAAAATTAGGCCTGATCGAGGACCGGGCCGTGGGGACGCTAAGCCCCGAAATCCTCTCCAGATAACCTCAAGAGATGAAGAGAGTTACAGGATGAGAGGCAGCAGGCTCCTGGTGTCCTGTCTTCCAAGTACTGTAATATGATACTTGGAAACTACTCATGGTTTAGTCACCACCACCACCTAACTTGCCCAACCGTCTACCACTCTCCTTGAACACGTCATCTTTCTAATAAATAAATAATAAATAAATGTTTATTTAGGTAAGGTACATACATAAAGAGATTTTACAAAGTTTGTTGGATTAATAGATAGAGCTAGTACATACAATGCCTAAAGCCACTATTACGCAAAGCGTTTCGGGCAGATAATGTTTCGGGCAGATAATGTTTCGGGCAGATAATGTTTCGGGCAGATAATGTTTCGGGCAGATAATGTTTCGGGCAGATAATGTTTCGGGCAGATAATGTTTCGGGCAGATAATGTTTCGGCAGATAATGTTTCGGGCAGATAATGTTTCGGGCAGATAATGTTTCGGGCAGATAATGAATAATGTTTATTCGATAACTTTGTTTCCTTTGTTTTAATCTGTGTTCTCTTGTTTTTTGAAGTTTTTCAAGAATTTTTCTGTCAATTTTGTCTTCATGTTACTATTTTGTACGTAGTGATCATACCACCTCTTTTTTTCTGTTTTTTAGCTTTGTCATTAACATCTCTAACCTCTCCTTATATATATATATATATATATATATATATATATATATATATATATATATATATATATATATATATATATATATATATATATATATATGTGTATATATATATATATATGTGTATATATATATATATATATATATATATATATATATATATATATATATATATATATATATATATATAATTTTTTTTTTTTTTTTTTTTTTTTTTAGTTCCTGAAGCCATTTAGTTTCATGTCTTTGCACCTTTTCCAGTTCATTGATATGCGTCTTGAGATATGGGCACCATACGAACGCTGCATATTCTTATTTTAGTCTCACGAAGGTCATGAACAATTTCTGTAATATTTCACTATCCATGTATTTAAAAGCAGTTGTGAAGGTGGAGAGCATAGCACGGGCTCCTCGCACAGTGTTGTGTGTGGTCCTCTGGTGACAGTCTACGATCCTGAACCACCGCTACATCTCTCTATCACAACTCTTTGAAGCTTTTACCATAACTTGTGGGTTGTGTGACCAATTTTCTTGTAGGTTATCTTGAGGTTATCTTGAGATGATTTCGGGGCTTTAGTGTCCCCGCGGCCCGGTCCTCGACCAGGCCTCCACCCCCAGGAAGCAGCCCGTGACAGCTGACTAACACCCAGGTACCTATTTTACTGCTAGGTAACAGGGGCATAGGGTGAAAGAAACTCTGCCCATTGTTTCTCGCCGGCACCTGGGATCGAACCCAGGACCACAGGATCACAAGTCCAGCGTGCTGTCCGCTCGGCCGACCGGCCTCCCTATCGACCTGCTCCTTGTATCCCACATTCCATAACTGGCATTTATTCACATTAAATTCCATTTGCCAAGTGCTACTGCATACGCTTTTTTTGTCCGGGTCTTCTTGAAGGGCATGACAATTGTCTTGGTTTATTATGTTCCTTAGCAGCTTGGCATCATGAGCTAACACATTCGTATAATTCTGTATGCCTTCTGTTAGATGGCTTATATAGATAGTAAACATTACTGGTGCTAGAACTGAACCCTGTGGCACTCCACTAGTAACATTTCTCCAGTCTGATAAACGCCTCTGATTTCTGCCCTCATCTTTCTATCAAACTCCTTTATTTATATCAGCAGTCTCCTGGTCACTCCTCCAGTATCTTATAGTTTCCAAAACAACTTCTTATGAGGGACTGTCGAAAGCCTTTTTAGGTCCAGATGAATGCAGTCAACCCAACCATTACTATCCTTTCTTTCCTGTCAACCCAACCTCTGTGGCTCTATCATAGAAATTAAGTAGATTTGGTACACGGGATCTTTACGTTCGAAAACCATACTGCCTGTCTGTTATTATTTAATTTCTCCCCAGATGTTCTACTTATTTGGCTTAAAAACAAAATTGTAACACTTGTCAACGATACAGGTACATAATTAAGAGGGTCTGCTTTATTTGTGTAGACTGGGACTATGTTTGCCCCTTTTTCCTGTATCTACCAAGACTCGTATACACAAAGATGTGTGAAGACGTGCGTGTGTGTGCGTGAGGCTCAGTGATTGGTATACTATACATGCTTAAGGTATGTATAGAGAGAGATTAAGCAGCGACACACATCCTGTCCGACCACTAGAGGGGCACTGCTGCTCATCCTGTGTGAGGCAGAGAATATACGCCACTTTGAACATCTTGGTTTATTCGTTGTTGGCACAAGTGAGCGGTGCGATATTCAGGAATGTCTTGACAGTTCTAAGTGTAGCGTATACTGCACGCCTGACCTTAGTTACTGTTCGGTCAGACTGCATCTGTGGGGCTTATTGTGTACTCTGTGATTAATTACATTATTAACGTGATGTCTTGTGGGGCCTTAGTCATTGTTGGTATACTTGTACTGACTTACTGCTTTATCATCCTTACTTTCCAGTCACCCCTTCCCCGCTCTCTCCACCCTCCCTCCCCCACTCTCTCCACCCTCCCTCCCCCCACACTCCACCTTCCCTTCCCTACGCTCCCCCCCTAGTACACTCAGCCCTATATTTATTTTTCTTAAATTTCTTTGACAGTTGAAAATGAAGACTTGTTTATTTTACAGGTGGGAGGTGGAGGCGGCGCGTGTCTGGTCTGCTACACTCCCTCCACGCCCAGGCCACGCCCACCCCCGCCCCCGCCCACGCCTCTCCGTCATGCGGGAGGTTGTCGTCGCCTGGTGAGGTCTCCTCCGTGGTGAAGTACACGTGTGAGCGGGACTCTCCCACCCACATCTCCGCCGCCCTCACTCTCCACTCCCTCTCCTCCCCCTCTTCCTCCTCCTCGTCGTCACCCACATGCGCCCACACTCCGCCCACAGCTCTACCCGCCACGCCCACGTCACCCTCCTCGCCGCCCACGCCCGAGGCTGCTAGTCATGCGCACCAGTTTGAGGGGTCATCCCCACGCCTGGTGAGAGAGTCGCTCCTGCACGCCCACTTTCCCAGCGCCCATGCCCGCACTCAGTCAGACTCGTGGCACCAGGTGTGGGACCCATACCCGTGTTGCAAGAGTGTGGTGGGCCACTCGCCCCCGCCCCACGACCCCACCCCACCCCCACCTCCGCCGGCTGACGTGAGCGGCAAGTGGGGGGCGGGTGTTGATAGCGGCGGATTACAGGTGGATATCAGGGAGGTGTTGGCCGGCCACGACACAGCAGGTGACGCTACAGGTGTGGAGGCCTCGAACCTGGTCTCCACCACACAGCAACACCCCACTGAGCCACCCACACTTCGACACCAGCACCTTGCGCACGTTCCTCCCGCCGCAGCGCCCGACGCACGCCCGCAGCGCACGCCCGCCCTGGCCACCAAGCAGAGCAGAAACTATCACACTCTGGGTAAAAAGCTGAAGAAGATTTTGTTCAGGTGGTCTGAGCCAGCGGAGGCCCGGGAGGTGGAGCCATCTGGCGACGAGAGCCAGCTGCCCTGGAGGAGGAGCCACACCCCGGCGGAGGAGCCAGATAGCGAGCCACACCCTCACACTCGACACGACACAAGCACGTGCGAGGATGGGGAGCGGCGTGCCAGCACGGCGGGCGGCGGTGTAGAGGAAACAGATAGTGGAGATAGCACAGCAACGGAAGTGAGGTCAGCGGGACAGGAGCTGGAGGCCGGCCCCGCGAGGCCAGTGTCTGCCCTACCACCGACCTCTTCACGCCCTCACGCAAACTCGCTGCCTTCTCCTCCGCGAGTAACTCCGTTGCCATCGCCCCCTCGCGTAACCGCGCTGCCATCGCCCCCTCGCGTAACCGCGCTGCCATCGCCCCCTCGCGTAACCGCGCTGCCATCGCCCCCTCGCGTAACCCCGCTGCCATCGCCCCCTCGCGTAACCCCGCTGCCATCGCCCCCTCGCGTAACCCCGCTGCCATCGCCCCCTCGCGTAACCCCGCTGCCTTCTCCTCCGCGAGTAACTCCGCTGCCATCCCCTCCTCGCGTAACCCCGCTGCCATCGCCACCTCAACACCACCACAGGGACGCGAACGGAGGCGTGCCTGGGCCACAGAGTATTGTGTCACCGGCCACCACTCGCACTCAACTTGCAGGCCACGCGCCACACGCACTCACGCAACGCTCGCCGGTAGAGAACGTCGGCGGTGGCGCGGAGACAAGTGAGGGCAGCGAGAAGGGCACGAGAGTGGAGGGAAGAGGTGGTGGCGGCGAGGGCGGGGAGGAGCAGAGGAGGAGCGTGTCGGGTGAGAGGGGAGGGCGACGGGAGAGTGTTGGGAGCGTGGCGAGTGAGGGCGGAGGTGTGAGGGGCGTGAACCGCGTGGTGTCGTCCACCTTATATCAGTGGCGACGACTCCAGGGCAGTGTTGGCTGCCTCACCACCGCCCTCAAGCAGCGCTACCACCACCACCGCCTCGTGCGGCAACCCTCACCTCGCGCACTCGCGCCGCACGCAAGAGGCCGGGTAGAGCCACCAAGAGGAGTAGAGGAGCCGAGGACAGCATCCCGCAGAGCTCCTCGCCTCGCGCAGCTTGCAGCATACCGCGTGAGGACCCAGCAGCAGGGAGAGGTAGAGGCAGGCGACGCCTCGCCAGAGACCTCTCGCGGCTCAACTGAGGACTTCGGCACCGAGCAGTCCGTCAGTGACGTCTTCGGCAGTGAGGTCACCAGCCTAACGTCAGTGGAGGCGCGGGAGTGTGCACCAGTGTGCACGTCGCCGGTGGGAGTGTCGTCCCCCAGCACGTCGTCTGGCACTACCTCGTCAGACGACACTGGAGACACCAGCACCGGCACCGTCATCTTCAGGTCTCTCAAGCTCGAGTCACTGGAGGACGATGACGCTCTTCCGGTGGCGGTGAGGGACAAGGATGGACCTGTGGTACTGGACGAAGACATCACGGTAGGAAGACCCGCCACAGAGGAAGATCTAGCCACCGCAAGATCAGAGGAAGCGGCGGAGACCGCGAGCGGTGTGGCGCCACACCAGGCAGGAGTGATGAGCGGAGATCAAGCCACCTGCAACACAAGAGACGCAACACTGATGCCGCGGCGAGGCAACGACGGTGTTGAGTGTGAGGGGGAGCCCGCAGCCAAGCGTGCCAGCCTGCTCCTAGTGTGCTGTGACGACCTCGGGTCAGCCTCTCCCCTCACCTCGCCGCCACTCTCCACCAGCAGCCCCCGCGCAACACTCTCACACACTCGCAAACTGTTCTGCGAAGCTATGATGGGCGGAGGTGACGACACCGCTGAGGGCGCCGCCGCCGGTGCCGCGAAGGCAGTTGTTGAAGCCGCCCCAGAAGCTGCCCTCAACGCGCGCTGTGACACTGAACCCGGTGATGGCGGAGGCGAGAGAAAGTCTGGCGAGGACAGTTACACAAACGGGAGCAGGGTTAGTGATGAGGGTGACGCCACCAGAGATACCTCTTACAGTGATGATGACAGACCTACCGCAGACATCTCGTACAGTGAAGATGATAGTAGACCAACCACACACCCCTCTAGTGAAGAGGGTAGTAGAGCTACCAGGGACACGTCTTATAGTGAAGAGGGTAGTAGACCTACCAGGGACACGTCTTATAGTGAAGATGATAGTAGACCTACCAGGGACACGTCTTATAGTGAAGATGATAGTAGAGCTACCACACACACCTCTAGTGAAGATGATAGTAGACTTACTAGGGACACGTCTTATAGTGAAGATGACAGTAGAGCTACCACAGAAACCTCTTACAGTGAAGATGGTGATAGAGCTACCAGAACTTCTTGTTATAGCGAGGATATCAGTAGTAGCAGAGTCGCCTCTTACAGTGAAGATGAAAGTAGTAGCGGCAGCAGACGCACGTGTGGCAGTGAGGGCAAGAGTTTGGAGCACACCGCCTCAGACTGGGACTCTGAGGGAGCGACTCTTGGCCAGCAGGATGGTGGTGTTGGTGTTGGAGGGACGTCTTCCACACCAAGTAGTGGTGGAGAGAAGGCTCACACCTCCAGTGATGGTGGCAGCAGCAGTGGTGGTGGAGGAGACGCCAGTGTGGACGCTTCTTGCCTCCTACAGACTGCTGACAGTGTATCGAAACACCCGGGTCACATTCTGGCAGTTGGTGAGGACCTTGATCATGGACACCGGGATGGAAGTGTGACCCCGGTAATTGGTGGTGATGACAGTAAACAAGCGCCAAGCGTAACCACAGCGCCTGGTGGTGATCAAAGACAACCATTACCAGTTGTAACCTTGGGGATTACCGGTCATGTAGTTCCGAGGCAAGGTGACCCGTGTGACACCGGGGTAACGAGTGATGACCTTGATCAAAGACGAGAACCACAAGTGACCTCATTAATTAGTGATGACCTCAGTCGGAGAGGGCAAGAACAAAGTGTGAGCGCGTTAATTAGTGATAGTCCCGATGATGCCCACAAGGAGGAGGGGGACGCGACCCCTCCAGACCTCGGTGATGGGGAGAGCTCGGGAGTGTCGAGTGAAGCGGTCAATTCCGGTGATGGGGCGTTAGCGGTGAAGGGCGAGGTGGTTGAGAGTGGCGAGGGCGCCTGCATGAGCGGTCTTGGGGAGAGTGAGGCCAGCGATGGGATAGTCAACGGAGCCGGGCCCAGGATTCTTATCACGGCAGCTACGAGCGTGGGCGGCGGGGCCAGCACTGCGCCCGCCATCGTGGTGGAGAGTAGCAGTGCTGCCTCAGGTTGGGGCGGCTCCCTGGAGGGGGTGGCCTTCCCCCTCACCCAGGACACCTTTACCCCTACCTCCACCCTCGCCGCCCACCTGGCCGCCCACCCTCGCCCCCCTACCCCCAAGTCGCCCATCACTGTGGACGAGTGGGTGGCAGCCCTCCCTCCCCACAGCATGAGGTGAGTGGAGCTCTTTATTGTGTGTCTCTTTCCAGGTTATCACAGTTGGTAGCCTCATGTAACACACTACATCTTCACGCTCTGTGACACGCTTCAGGCCTCCACTGTCTCCATGCAACACCCTAGGCCTCCACTGCCTCCATGCAACACCCTAGGTCTTCACTGCCTCCATGCAGTGAAGGTCTTCACTGCCTCCATGCAACACCCTAGGTCTTCACTGCCTCCATGCAACACCCTAGGTCTTCACTGCCTCCATGCAACACCCTAGGTCTTCACTGCCTCCATGCAACACCCTAGGTCTTCACTGCCTCTATGCAACACGCACATTTCTTATCTATTCTCTATAAACATCTTAAGGTTTTCGCTGCAACACATATATTTTGGTCCCCATACTTGTGTACACTTGAGGCTGACCAAGACGGACAGTTTCCCCATCTTGTTGCTTTTACACATTAAGAGCCAATTACATCTTTCTTATGGCACCAATTACAAAAATCATGGTGAAAAGTACATTTTAAATGAAAGGTTTTCCAGTATTTTCACTTGTCCTCCTCCAGGCACCCACCACTGGTGTCCACCTCCTCCAGGCACCCACCACTGGCGTCCTCCTCCTTCAGGCACCCACCACTGGTTTCCTCCTCCAGGCACCCACCACTGGTGTCCACCTCCTCCAGGCACCCACCACTGGCGTCCTCCTCCTCCAGGCACCCACCACTCGTTTCCCACCCCACACAGACACCCAGTACTTGTGTTCCCTTATCCCCCATCACTGGATTGAACACCACAAGGTCTAACATTGCTAGTTTGTTCTCTCCCTTCTCCAAGTTGCTTCAGGACCTATACCTATCCATAATCTCCATCCTCTGTATGGTCTCCCTCCATGGGAATTTTTGTTGCCTACTCAGTTACCGTGTGATTAAAGTCACCGAGAGCCAGAAGCTGATCACACTCGCATACCACCATTGCTGCTTTATCTCTGACCTTTAGACTGATACCCACTTTGGCTATAGATACTTGATAAAATCAATAGTGCTTTTTGAAGAACAGTGCTGTTCCTCTTCTCCTACATCACCTTTGTTTTATTTCTTTAATTGCAATGATAAGTGCCTAACTTATTCATTATACCATCTGCATTTGTGAACATTATTCATATCTGTTAAATATTATTAATGGGATTGTATTGTTTGTAGGATCGTAAACATGATCAAGATTTGGGGGAGGGACAAAAGATTCATACATTTTGAGTCATTCTTATAGATCATGATGCTTAGCTGGTGGGGCCAGAGCTGCATTCTGCTCTCATGTTGTTTAAGTGCATGACTTTTCCCATAGAGCAGTATACAGTGAACAGAGTAGTGCAGTAACAGATCTATTTTAGTATGGCTGCAGTAATTACTATGCTTAAAGGGGCATGCATTATTAATATTTGTCATCACATTGAATGTATTGCAATTTCCTTTATTCAGAAAATGTTAATTGTGAATCATTACTATTTAAGAAATTTGTTATTTGTTTTCATTGAAAATATTTTTCAGTTTAACATTGTTTATATGTAAATGCTGTTGATGTAAGATGCAAATAAAATACAGGATATATGCATATTTTTTATTAGAAAAATAGGTGCAATTAAGACCAAGTGGATCAAGTATAGACTTAAGTTTAATACTTTGTCAGCAAAACACAAATTTAACACTTTAGATAGACACAAATTTACTACACCAAACAGATAGAGAATGTCTTGATATTACTGTACACCACATTGAAATGTGCAACTCAAACTATTGTAATTCATTTTTATATTTGCCTCGCATGAATTTAGGCAATGGAATTAGTCCTGGACAGGGTACCTGGCCGGGCACTTCGCATATGCATTGCCGATCACAGCCCCAGCCAAAATTTGCTGGGTTGTCGAGGCTGTCACGCTCCCTTTCTTCCTCATCCAGTTTGCTGTCAGTTTTGCAGAAGACTTTCCTAAAATGATCATGAATTTCTGAACGAGACTTTGAGTCCACATCCATCAGGACATCCTCACCACCGTCTAAAAATATACGTATAAATGGTGTTGGGGTAATGTTCTTGAAAGTGGCAATCTGGAAAAAAAAGGATAACCATGTAAGAATAAAATGCCTAACATAAAAAATTGGCTAGCTTTACTGGATACAATATGTGCAAAATGCAGAAATCAAGCTATTTTTAATAAAAATTATTATCCTTTTTTTTTTTTAAAAACAGCTATACTGTATTAATTTCTATAGCAAGTGCAACATGTGCCTTCAATTTTTTTGTTTATCTGTAACCTACTTTACTTGGCTCGATTACAGTGAATAGTTTCATACATAGTGCTGCACTGTATGTAATTCAGTGTGTCCTGTGATACCTTATTCTCTCCTGTGAAATCTTGCTAAGTCACTATTGTATAAATTCAATTGTAGCAATACAGTACTTGTAAACTTTTTATATGTTAACTTGGCTACAAGTCTGCATAAATGAAGCAAAGACAACTTGTATTGTATCACTACCTATACATTTATATGTCAAGACTTAGATGAAATAGCATAGTTAATAACTTGCTATGCCACAATATTCAAATTCTGTTATTCGAATCTTCAATGATTTCTGTCATAAAATTTCACAATGAGTTGGTCCATTAATCTAGAGCATGCTACTCTTCTCAAGTTTTGGAGGGTAGACCTTGTTTTTTCCAACGCACATTGTGTTATATGATTAAATATGACAATGGTGGTAGCAATGTTAGCCTGGGGCACATTTTAAAAATTAACTAATTGTTGCATGCATATACCTGTCCTGTGATGGTATACCATCACAGGATGGTATACCATGTTGCATGCGTATACCTGTCCCTACCTATAATAGTCAATTTCATTAAACACTTATAATTGGTTGACTTAGAGATGCAGTTTACTAATACAGAAAATGATACAACAAAAAGCCCTATGTTATATTTTAAATTGTCAATAGCCGATTTAACCTCTCAAAAACAAGTAGAGTTTGGTCGAGACTTCAACATGCCATTTTGTTATACCTGTATATCTGGATTTTTATACTGTAGTTGTGGTAGGTGCCAGAACACAAACTCCTGCAGTCCCTTATGGTGGTCTCCAATTGTGTTGTAATTTAACGTCACCAACTGCAAGAAGATCCAATGGGGATATTAGTTAAATTTTCATATCTATTAATATATATACTGTATATTATATATATATATATATATAAAGTACTTAACATTTACTATTCAAAATTGTAGATATTTTATACTCATAGAGGTAAGTTAATTGTATAATTTTAGTAGTCAGGGAGTTCATGTTTGTGCTTTACTGTTACAATCTTCTGATTAAATCTTTAATGTGGCTGAAACAAACTGCACAACAAACCCACACATTAGAGAATAATAGAGAATTTGGAAACAACTTTTATTAGTAAGCCATCAGTTGATTGAAACTAGTCATCCCAAGTTGAACCTTTACCTAATGATCATGAACAGTTCTCTACCTCTACAAGGAGGTAGTAACTCTCTTCTTACAAATGACCCTGTGGTGCTCTCTTCCCCTTGTAGGAGACCCCGTGGTGCTCTCTTCCCCTTGTAGGAGACCCTGTGGTGCTCTCTTCCCCTTGTAGGAGACCCTGTAGTGCTCTCTTCCCCTTGTAGGAGACCCTGTGGTGCTCTCTTCCCCTTGTAGAAGACCCCGTGGTGCTCTCTTCCCCTTGTAGGAGACCCTGTGGTGGTCTCTTCCCCTTGTAGGAGACCCCGTGGTGCTCTCTTCCCCTTGTAGGAGACCCCTGTGGTGCTCTCTTCCCCTTGTAGGAGACCCCTGTGGTGCTCTCTTCCCCTTGTAGGAGACCCCTGTGGTGCTCTCTTCCCCTTGTAGGAGACCCCTGTGGTGCTCTCTTCCCCTTGTAGGAGACCCCGTGGTGCTCTCTTCCCCTTGTAGGAGACCCCTGTGATGCTCTCTTCCCCTTGTAGGAGACCCTGTGGTGCTCTCTTCCCCTTGTAGGAGACCCTGTGGTGCTCTCTTCCCCTTGTAGGAGACCCTGTGGTGCTCTCTTCCCCTTGTAGGAGACCCTGTGGTGCTCTCTTCTAGTAGGAGACCCTGTGGTGCTCTCTTCCCCCTGTAGGAGACCCTGTAGTGCTCTCTTCTCCTAGTAGGAGACCCTGTGGTGCTCTCTTCCCCCAGTAGGAGACCCTGTGGTGCTCTCTTCCCCCTGTAGGAGACCCTGTAGTGCTCTCTTCTCCTAGTAGGAGACCCTGTGGTGCTCTCTTCTCCTAGCAGGAGACCCTGTGGTGCTCTCTTCTCCTAGTAGGAGACCCCGTGATGCTCTCTTCCCTTGTAGGAGACCCTGTGGTGCTCTCTTCCCCCTGTAGGAGACCCTGTGGTGCTCTCTTCCCCTTGTAGGAGACCCTGTGGTGCTCTCTTCCCAGTCTTACAGAACCCTCTCCAGTTGGAGATCATGTGGCTCTTCCCCCATTCTAGGAGACTGATTCTCCAGTTAATTGTCACAAATAAAAATTGCCATTTGTTTTCCATATTGGTCTGCTCTTTAAAATGGTACCGAAGAATTGTATACAGTAATATCCATTAATGGCTTATTATAGAATTCTGCGACCAGTTAGCTGACCCCAGGCCTATCATGGCACCGAATGCGTAAGTAATAGAGAAGCGTAACTCCGTAGCTCAACATTTAAACAATAGACTTTAGAGGCGCCAGATCAATAATCCAATAACTAAGTTAAAGGGGAGCGGAGGAGGCCTAGAGAGGCGGAGAGGGAGTGTGGGGGATGGTCGGCCAGCCAGCCAGCAAGGCAGCCCGGCCGGCCGAGCGCAGTTGTCCGCACCTGAACTCTCTCTCGCAGCACGAGTTTCGACGCATTCAGGTACTGAAGTGTTCGCCGGATTGGTGCTCGACCCTTCATAAACGGCATCTTGCTCACTGAGGTTAGGCAAGGCCGCTAAATGGGTCGGTCTGGTCTGGTCTCGCAGCAGCACCCACCACCTTCCACCAACGAATGTAAACAAACTAGTCAGCTGGTGACAAAGGCGCAGAGCTTTGCGCACCGGGAGTCTGGCGTCAGGTGCGTTCGGAAATCCCACTATGGCACACTTGACTCTATACAAAGTGGTTTCACATGTATATTTCTTTGATATTAAACCATTAGTTAGAGAATTAGCATGTTTAAAAACACTGGTTTTTATTTTAAACCATATGTAAACTTATTTTTTTTTTTTTTTTAGATATTTAAACAAATATTGCAACAATTTGTTTGGTATCATTGGAAACACCAAAGCTCTATATAGTTTCCTTACCTGTTTCCTATTTAAACAAAACTAATTTATTATTAAAATATATAACATAAACAAATATCAGCATGTTTAATAGCACCGCTGTAAAGCCTACTAGAGTATTGTGTTAAAATTAAAAAAATCTGATGAAACTAACAAAGATGCAATTTATTATTATTATTATTATTATTAACAAGCTCGGGGTATATACAGCAGTGTGTTCCTTCCCTATTTTACACGAGACACTCAAGTAATGTTATAAATCCTCGATAATACCTGCTTGATGGGGTTCTGGGAGTTCTTCCACTCCCTAAGCCCGGCCCGAGGCCAGACTTAATGATATAACTTTGTGCAGTATATAGTTTCCAGTGACTTGTATTTAATTAATTAGATTGCTTTTTATGTTTTCATAACAAAATAAATACGAGTATAGTTGGTAACTCCAGTATTTCCCTATTTTGGAGTGAAGTTGTCCGAGTTCTTTTGGTGCTAAAGAACTTTTGTATCTTTCGGTACAAGATTTTGAAAATTTTGATTTGAGGCCTTAAAGAGCTCATGAATCCTCCCTTTGCTTGAGTTGTCACTAGTATATATTTAGTACAGCAAAGAAAGCAGTGAAGTCTGTTAAGAGAGACCATGTTGAGTTTTATTTTGAATGTAATTACTACAGTCAATCATCCTTGGTAAACTACAAATGTGACAGCTGGCACATTTTGGCAAGGGAGGCCCAGAACCTGGCAGGCAGCATGCGAGGGGAAGAGTCCGGCAGGCAGCATGGGAGGGGAAGAGTCCGGCAGGCAGCATGTGAGGGGAAGAGTCCGGCAGGCAGCATGTGAGGGGAAGAGTCCAGCAGGCAGCATGGGAGGGGAAGAGTCCGGCAGGCAGCATGGGAGGGAAAGAGTCCGGCAGGCAGCATGGGAGGGGAAGAGTCCGGCAGGCAGCATGGGAGGGGAAGAGTCCGGCAGGCAGCATGGGAGGGGAAGAGTCCGGCAGGCAGCATGGGAGGGGAAGAGTCCGGCAGGCAGCATGGGAGGGGAAGAGTCCGGCAGGCAGCATGGGAGGGGAAGAGTCCGGCAGGCAGCATGTGAGGGGAAGAGTCCGGCAGGCAGCATGGGAGGGGAAGAGTCCGGCAGGCAGCATGGGAGGGGAAGAGTCCGGCAGGCAGCATGGGAGGGAATGAGTCCGGCAGGCAGCATGGGAGGGAATGAGTCCGGCAGGCAGCATGGGAGGGAATGAGTCCGGCAGGCAGCATGGGAGGGAATGAGTCCGGCAGGCAGCATGGGAGGGAATGAGTCCGGCAGGCAGCATGGGAGGGAATGAGTCCGGCAGGCAGCATGGGAGGGAATGAGTCCGGCAGGCAGCATGGGAGGGAATGAGTCCGGCAGGCAGCATGGGAGGGAATGAGTCCGGCAGGCAGCATGGGAGGGAATGAGTCCGGCAGGCAGCATGGGAGGGAATGAGTCCGGCAGGCAGCATGGGAGGGAATGAGTCCGGCAGGCAGCATGGGAGGGAATGAGTCCGGCAGGCAGCATGGGAGGGAATGAGTCCGGCAGGCAGCATGGGAGGGAATGAGTCCGGCAGGCAGCATGGGAGGGAATGAGTCCGGCAGGCAGCATGGGAGGGAATGAGTCCGGCAGGCAGCAAGGGAGGGAATGAGTCCGGCAGGCAGCACGGGAGGGAATGAGTCCGGCAGGCAGCACGCGAGGGGAAGGGTCCGGCAGGCAGCACGCGAGGGGAAGGGTCCGGCAGGCAGCACGCGAGGGGAAGGGTCCGGCAGGCAGCACGCGAGGGGAAGGGTCCGGCAGGCAGCACGCGAGGGGAAGGGTCCGGCAGGCAGCACGCGAGGGGAAGGGTCCGGCAGGCAGCACGCGAGGGGAAGGGTCCGGCAGGCAGCACGCGAGGGGAAGGGTCCGGCAGGCAGCACGCGAGGGGAAGGGTCCGGCAGGCAGCACGCGAGGGGAAGGGTCCGGCAGGCAGCACGCGAGGGGAAGGGTCCGGCAGGCAGCACGCGAGGGGAAGGGTCCGGCAGGCAGCACGCGAGGGGAAGGGTCCGGCAGGCAGCACGCGAGGGGAAGGGTCCGGCAGGCAGCACGCGAGGGGAAGGGTCCGGCAGGCAGCACGCGAGGGGAGACTCCAGAGAAGTGGTGGGGAGAGTCTCTCGTCTTCAGTAGTGTCTAGCGATGGGACATGGTTACCTTACCTGGAGGTTACCTTGAAATGGTTTCAGGGCATAGCGTCCCTGCGGCCCGGTCCTCAACCAGGCCTCCTCATTGCTGGACTGGATTCTTCCCTTGGTAGCTACACTCATACCAGTATTTATCATTAAGTGCACTAAAGTACAGTATACTCATGCTTGTGTTCTTCTTTCCTGCCAGTGACGAAGATGAGGGGGACACATCATGGATCAGCACCGCCGCTGCAGATGACCAGACTGAGGATATTCTCAACCTAGGTGCCGAGGGTGAGTCATTAAACCGACTGGAGGTGGGTAAAGATGAGCGAGTTTGTGAAAGTATGATTGTATGAACATATCCGCAAGGGTCTTGATAAAAGTTCGAACCTATGCTCTGGATGTTCCCAGACTCGCTGTAGTCAGCTGTGTGTGAACATCCAGCGCATAGGTTTGGGGGGCTGATAGTCAAAGCCTCCTGCTGGCCTGGGACAGGCCTGTGTAGGCTCTGGCTTGCTACTGCTGGAACCTCTCTGGTATAGCGCAACTCCTCTCTATCAACCTCGATGTACAACTCCTCAAGTATATAAGAGGGAACCAGGAGCTAAGCCCCACCTACCAGGAGATAGCGTCTGGCTATCCTCCTACTACACCTAGACAGGGGCTTGTTTAATGCGAAGAACAAAGCCAAACGTCTGCAATTACCAGCTTAGCACAAGTCGAGGTCACTTGACAGGCTCTGACCTCTGGCCAACATGTGAACAATAACATTCAAAAGGTGTGACTTTTGAAATGGTAAGGACCGACAACCTGACACCGCCAATATTGTGTGTGAACTGACTCTTCTTGTATCGGTGAATATTTAAATACAGTACAACCATTTATAGGGTTACACCCCACTAGGAGTCCTAGTAACTTGCTCTCCCCCCACTAGGAGACTCAGAACCTTGCTCTTCACTAAGAGACCTAATAGCTTGCTCCCGCCCCCCTCCCCCAGGAGACAGTAGCTTTCCTCTTTAGGAGATAGTAGCTTGCCTCTTTAGGAGACGGTATCTTGCTCTCCCTTCCCTAGGAGACAGTAGCGCGCTCTCCTCGAATGTATTGTAACATATTTCATACTCTACAGGAAGGTATCAAATTCTTTTAAGGCACTTATGATTCTGTTCAAAGGTTCAAATTCAGTATGGTGGTAATGTCAGCCATCTTGCTCCAAACCATCCCAAGACTGAGTAGCTATAGAAAAATAGCTATGGAATTGATATTTTAGTTTTAATCAACAATTACTCCTACAGAGTCCATTTAACACAAGCTTCATTTAGTAGATTCTGCAGAAATAATTGTGCCTTGATCATTTTAGAATTATCGAGTTAAAATGTACTACATATGTAGTATCTGAGGTCTTGATTGAATCAAAGTACTGTATCGGTATAAGTAATAATGCAATACTGTACCGTATTGATCAAAATATTGTATCAGTGCTGCTCTAAAATCTACACTGTATCTTGAAAGTCTAAACGGATATCATCAGCATTGTATACAACGTTGCCCAACATAGCTGCCTTTAAAAATCTGAATAAGAAACTATTCAAAATCTTGTATAGTATAACATCAGACCAATCCTGCAATATGCAACACGAGTGTGGAGTCCTTATCTTGTTAAAAAATAAGTTGGAGAATGTCCCGAGATTTACCAGACTAGTATCCAAATTTAGGGATATGAGTTATGAGGAAAACCGAAGAATTTAAACCTCATAACTTGAAGACAAGAGTTAGAGGAGACAAGGTTAACAAACATAAAATTCTCTGGGGAACTGATAGAGCAGATTAGGACAGAATAAACATGATTAAGGGTTCATGAACAAGGGGGACACACACGGCCCTCCATATCTCTTGCCTTTTACATTTAGTTTTCCTTTCTTAGAAATTACTTAGTTTTTTATATAGAGGTGTTTGCTTCTCGTTCACATAAAGAACTCTCATTCTTTCAGGATTAGTAGTAGTATTGTATTGAGATATTCCTTTTATTTCTTGAAGATTCTTGATCTCTGTGTGTAATTCCCACATTATCCATTTTGTCGGTGATCCACTTAGTTCTCGTTTTTCAAGGATATCTCTCTCTCTCTCCATAAGGATACAGGTGTACACCCACACATGCTTATGCCAAACTTTTGTATACATGTTGCAGCTGGACACATGTGTGGCTCGGAATCCTTGGTGACCTCTTCACTTACCACCAGCGGTGCATCACGTCTAACACTGGCTGATGCTTCAGTAACTTCTGTTACTACTGCTGGTGGTGTTGCTGCCTCACTGCCAACCTTCAAGTCAGCGAGTTGCAAGAGCATAACTGAAGAGACCACTTCATCGTTAATTGGCCATTTGCATCACCCACCTCTGTCACACAGTTTACCTAGGTGAGTTACAAATGGAGTAACATCCATTTTCAGTATCTGCATTAAGGGCAATTATGATATGACTTTATTTCTGAAACTGTTTTTGGAAATTACAATTTTCAGTAAAAACATTGAAGATATTGCAGATTGCATTATGTACTGAAAAGAGAGAAATGTGACACTCATTTTGTTGTAAATGAGAAGACTATTGGATGGAATTATGCTTATGCACTTTTTTAATGAACTGTAAATGTCTATAAAAGCATATAGTGGTTAATATTTAGTAAAAGATTTTGCTTTAGGCAAGTGTTACACAATACAGTGGTACCTCCATTTTCAAATTTAATCCATTCCCAGAGACGGTTTGAAAACCAAAAATTTGAAAATCCAAAACGAATTTTGCCATAAGAAATACAGTATTGTAAATTGAATTAATCTGTTCCACACCTCCAAAAATATTAACTTAAAAATACATTTTATACATACTACTACTTATATTTTGTACTACAGTATGTACAAGTATATCTTACCTTTATTGAGGATTCTCGTTGGAGTGTGCCACGCACTCAGTCAGCCCATACTTGTATCAACAAACTCGAGCACCGAGGCAAACCACGAGTACCGAGTCAAATTTTTAGAGGAAATTGAGCTTGAGAACTGAAAAAATTGAAAACAGGGGCATTTGAAAACCGAGGTTCCACTGTACTGTACTGTACCATACTGTAAAGTACTGTACAGTACAGTAATACTTTATTTAAGAAAAATCTGCATCGAGTCCAAACGTGGATACTGCTAACAAACTTAACACTTTCGCCCGCCAACGACTAAACCTCTAGTCACTCATTTTTCTCCCGATTCCTCTGCGACGACGCGGTGCTGAGTCACTCATTAATTTAACACTTTGGCGCACCCAGCGCGCCACCCCTCAACTATGCAATTTGGGTCCCAGCGTTTCACGGGAGCGCGCGGTAATTCTGAAAAGTGTATACTCTCTTCAACTTTGTCACCTCAATTCTCGTCCTATGAGATTAAATTTGGTATCATTGTGTTCGCAATAGAATTCTCTACAGCACTAAATGCATATAAACTCCAAAAGCCCGGCTAATTACCCGCAGCAAACAGAGAAAGTGCGAACGCGTTACCCAGGAGCGCGCAAAAGCGATAAAATGTGTTCACTCTTTTCACTCTGGTCACCTCAATTTTCGTCCTAGGTCTTTCATTTTGGTATCAATGGGTTCGCAAAAGAATTCTCTAGAGGAATATTAGCATATAAAATAAAAAACCTGGTCACGCTCCACCCGCCGAGTTGAAGACGGGCCGCGCGTTAGCCGCGAGTGAGCGCCCAGACGCCTTCCAGCTACACTCCCAAATCCTGCCCACAAATGTTTAGTGGAGTCCTTCTATCTGTTGTGTAGTAGTTGTACATCACATAAGCATTGTAGATAGCCATTTTCACAAAATAGAAGGTCATTTTCTTCGTCCATTTGTGAGTTTTCCTTGTGAAGTGATAATCTTAGATCATTTGGTCAAAGTGATCAACACCTTTCATGTTTGTATTGTAGTCACAGATTGCATTCGGCTTGTTGACAGTTACCTGCTGCACTAAGGTTGTTCCATCATGATAGGCGCGCATTTATATAGCAGTCTGGTAAAGCTGTGGCAATGCCTGCTGTTGGTTGGTGAAGGTCTCAGGTGGAGTCATTTTCCTTGGCTGTTGTGCTTCCTGTGGCAGGTTCCTCTTCTGCACGTTGGCACCATTCTTTTAAACCCCAGAGAGATGGCGCCTCCTGTGATTCAATGCCGACCCCTTTGCAGTTCGCCTCTTTGATGGGGCAGTGTTAGGGAGGGGTGTCTGGCCCATGTTGTTAACTCCTGCTCCCATGATTATGGGCATTTTTGTTTGTTTCCCACGACCTCTGGTGGAATTGGTCTTTTCCTCTCCCTCATTTGAGGTCGGAGCTCTCTGGTCAAGAGTCCTGTCCACTGCTGCATCAGGTCATTGCAACTTGGTTGGCTTCAGACATGGTCAAAGTGACTTTGTCCCTGTGTTGGGTGTCTCAGTCCTGAAGCGAGACTCGGCAGACGTCTGGTTCATCCACAATCATTCAGTTTTGAATCACCTCATTCCCTGCACAACCTTTCACATGACCACTGTGGCCCAAGTTCAACTGGTATTACAAGTGGGATCATGGATGATGTGCCTAAACCTCAAGGACATTCAATGGCATATCCCAGTTCATCCAAGGTTCAGGGACTGGTTAGGTTTTATTGTGACATGTTGAGTTTACTTCTCTCAGATTCTATCTTTCAACTTGAATTTGGCTTCCCATGTCTTTACAAGGTTAAGGGCTAGGCTACATCTTCTCAGCCTTGGGGTGGGGCTATGTGACCAGTGCTCACCAGATTGCCCAAGGTCAGTGGTCGGGTTCGTTCCTTCAGGGGCACAGCACAATGCACGTGTTTGTAGCTATGTGGCATGCACTGAGGAGGATTTGGTTTCCTCCGGGCTCCATGCTCCAGCTTCACTCTGACTGCTCCATGGTGGTCCATTGTCTGAACTGTAGGGAGTCACTTCAGTCTTTGCCCTGTGGCGATAGACACTAAATACAGTTGGGCTTCTGGATTTTGGGGGTTTGGTTCTCTGCACTTTAGGGGTGCGTCCAGTATTTTCACTGACAGGTTACCTTGATACCATCCCATTTCCATGGAGTGGACCATCATCAATACTTCCTTCCATTTGGTCTGAGAGATGTTCAGGCTTCTTGAGATGGATTTCTTCTCATCAGTGTGGAACTGGCGTATCACTCCTATGTGGCTCTATTTCCCAATCGCGAGATTCTCATGGTGGATGCCTTTCAACTGGACTGGTGGAAATTCATACATCTTTTACCCCGGTTAAGTTGTTGCTCCAGGTTTTGTCCATACTGAAGTCTTTTTGGGCTGGGGGATCCTTCTGGTTCCTTGGTAGCTGGCTTATCCTTGGTTTCTGGCTCTTTTTTTTTTTAGCCTGGTGTCTGTCCTTGGGTGTTTTTCCATGGCTCCTCAATCAGTGGATCGGTCCATTGATATACCTCGCTGGTTCAACCTCCTCGTGTCTTTGTGACTGGTATTTATTATGCATGTCTATCGCCATTTGTGTGGTGAGCAGGTGGTTGCAGTATTGGTGCCCCACCTGCATTTGTCTTCGAGGCAGTAGTATAAAATGGCTTGGCATTTGTTTCACTTTTTCTCTCCCTCCATTGATTTTCCTTAGTCTCTGTTCCGGCTGTATTGTTCTTTTTGTTGTGGTTGTTTCTTGACCGCCATCTCATGCCTAATACTTTTGCCTCTTATTGTTGCCTCATTCTGCAAGTTGTCTTGGGCCTTTTCTTTCACCTGTGGTCAGCTCCTACTCCTTCTGAGCCATCCTGGTTGCTTGACAATGTTCTGGCATTTCTTTCATCCCCTCAGTTTGTGTCTTCCTCCTTCGGTCTGGGATATCTTTCTTAAGACTGTTTTTGTTGGTCCTTGCCTGCAACTGTCAGGTTGGGAAGCTTCATGCCCTTCCTTGGAAGTAGGGGTTTTGCTCTTTTGGCCCAGGTGGCAGTTTCTTCATCTACAGCTGTCTCCTCCTTTTCTGGTGAAGAATGAGTCATCGGGCATCTTTGGTGGTTGATACTTGGGTGGTTCGGCCGGGGGTGCATCAGTTGTTGTGTCCGGTGACGGCTCTTCACCGCTACCTGTATGCCACTGGTGCTGCCTTAGTGGATGTTTTGTGGGATGATCCTGTTTCCATGGTTCCCTGTTCCAAAGCTCTCTTTTTCCCAGGATTTCCACATGGTTATTAAATCTAGTCAGCCTGCTGTCTACCCCAGCCCATAATGTCTGCAAATACACTGCTCTTGCTGTGGTTTTCTCCAACATGTCTTGGGTTTGGGTTTAATGGTTTTGGCCGTCTAACAGGGTTTTGGTGGCCCAGTATTTGGTCACTGTTCTGACCTCTTGTCATTCTTGCATTGCTTTAGGCCATGTTTCCAAGCCTTCTTCTTCACTTAAGTACCTGCTATCTCTCCTCTCTGGTAAGTCCCTTGCTTTTATTCCCTGTGATTAGTTAGTTTCAGGGAGTCACCAGGGGTTGGGGAGGGGCTCCTCCAAATATCCAGCATTGAATGAAATGAAATGCCTGTTTCTGAAAGCTCCGGTGGCACTCTAACACCCTGTCCCCCCCCTCCCCCTCCCCTACCATTTGCATCACTGTTCATTTGCTCCAGAACTGACCTGAGAAGGTAGGCTTGGGGGTGTGGGGGATTAGCTGGGGGTGTGGGGGACTGGTTGGGGATGTGGGGGATTAGCTGGGGGTGTGGGGGACTGGTTGGGGATGTGGGGGGGATTGGCTGGGGCTCTGGGATGCCTGGTGGGGGTTATTAGTACTAATGGGTTCGAGGTACTGTATTTTTTAATGTTTTGATCATTGTATTGAATTGTTTGGGGAGTTGTTTGGATGTTTCGAGCTTTCTTTTTCTTTGAACCTAGCAGTTGTTATGTAATGCTTCAGGTAAGCAAAACAGAACTCCCTCAACTGATGTGACCTAGCAGATACGAGCAATATCAATGAGTTAGTTCCAGGGAGCCACTGGGGCTTTACTAGAAGGAGGCATTTCACTGATGACCAAATCACTCGTCAGAAAACGGAGAAACGACGACAATTTGCTCCGTCCTGGAACATTGTCAAGTTGTGGACCATAATCACATGATAATAGTCCAGGATGGAACAAAACGTCGTCGTTTCTTTATTTTCTGATGCCTGGTTTGGTCATAATTTCTTCAGCCACATTATTGTGACTCATCGCCAGGCATTTCATTGCATTCAATGCTGGTTATTTTGAGGGGAATGATACCTCGCCACTTTATGAAGGTAGAAAACACGTTGATGATGATGTACAATACAGTGCATATATTTGTGATGTTAAAGCTTTTGTGTTAAACATATGGAGTGGATATTGTGTGAAAGCACTTTTGATGACCAAAATTATGGTGATTAACATCATTGTGTTTCTTGCATTCCTAACAGGTCGCTGACCCTGACAGATGTGACAAACACCTTTCAGAGTCAGCAGAGGCAGGCACAAGAGCAGCAGCAGGCAAATTTGGTGGGTATTGAAGGAAGACGATCTCAGTTTGCTTCACTCCGAGAAAAACAATCATCTTTCCAGAGTGAACTATCAGGCCTCTCACTCCAGAGCAAGTATGTAATATTAGCAGTGTGTGTTGCTCTTGAATATGAATTGCTTCAAATCATTAAATTTAAAGAGCGAAAGAGAAAAGATTAGTTAAGTTTATATAATGAAATTTCTTCTTGGTACAGTATGTTTTTTGCTGTTAGGTGATGGGAGATTTTGGATAATATATATTTATGAATTCACCCTCTTGATAACCATTGTATAATGTGCACAGTCTTCCTTCTATGTCGGTGTATCAGCCCTTGAAGACCTGTGTAAGTGTGCAAGTTATTTATGTTACATACTGTACTATAATTTAAATTTACAGCAACTATGTGAGAAATGTTGGAATGTGCATGTTGCATTATATAATGATGTTTTGGGTCATTTACAGTAAAATGAATTACAATTGAAAGTCCGAGGTCCTCTTTACTGGGCAAGTATGCCAATAAAGCTTGTTCTGTAGTCAATCTCATTCAAACTCGACATGGGTGATGAAACGCCAAATTAGTTTGGTGTTATCAGAAATATATTCCTTATGAGTGAACATACCAGTATGTTGCATAATGGAAATACAGTTTTAGTGGGTACTACCTGCCAGGCATATTTCAGACATCTTGGGAAACACTCCTGACACAAAAATCCAAGAATGAAGAGAAAGGCATTCATTTATAATATTTGGGGGTCATGGCCCTATCTTTGACAAATAAATTTAAGGGACTAGTGCCTGGGGAAATACTGGAGATGAGGATAAAATCTCCTTACTGACAGGTTCTTCTGATAGATGTCCTTCACATCATAGGTTGAAATCAAAATTGTTGTCTGTGAAATTTGCCTTCAGTGTGTGTGTTGAACAAATTATGGTATGAATGATAATGCCTATAATATGGTTCTGGTCATGTCTTTAATGATTTTTGTAGATGAATGCACCATTAGGGGAAAGAGTTGATGTCTTGATGAAGTCAATGAGCTAAGATGTCTTGTTCACAACGTGATTAACATTAAAAATGGCATAACATAAGTTCTAAAAAAAAAAGAAGCTAAAAATAGGTGTTAGGTGTAATGTTAGGTCTATCAGAAGAACCTATCAGGAAAGAGATTTCACCCGCATTATCATAGGAGTTAGGGTTTGATAGAAGCCTAATTACAACATTTTGTCTCAACCACATGAAGTGACATTTAATTATGCCACCAACTGTTGACAGCATATACACTGCAGGATCCCAAACCTGTGCCAGAATTAAAAGGTTGACGTCACACACCTTGTGCATAACATGTGTAAAACACAAAATGTTATTTCATATTTTAGTTGGGTTGGGTGGATTTGATTTAAATGGTAGTAATGACATAGACAGGTGAAACTCAGAGCCTTCTTCATTTACCGGCTTCAAGAGCATGCTTTGAAGGTCAGAGAACCTATAACTTGAGAGGATTTCGGGTTTAGCGACCCCGCAGCCCGGGCGTCGACCAGGCCTCCTCCTCCAACCTGCTCGGACATTGTCCACCACATGGTGTACGTGGTCTATGAATCACTTACTGTGTTCTGGGGGTTGTATTTTCACGAATCGACCCCTATCACTCTTTGCAGTGAAAGGATTAGGCTAAAAACTGTTTCCTCTATCTTCCTGTTCGAGGCCAAATGCCTCTCCACCCCATGAAAGTGGAAAATGGTATAGTGATATGAAAATTGCTGTTTTCTTTAATAATATATTGCAGCATGCTACATGTACTTCAATTAGAGTCAAAGAATACTGTACTGAAGTTCATATTTATTTCCAGCATAATATTAATAACATACTATTGAGAAAATCAGTAGGAGCCATGAGGATTGATGTATCACATTGATACATCATGTTAATGTGATTTCATTGTGCACTGTACTATTAATACCAAGTGAAATAAGAATAAAGCAAAGCAATATTTTAAGCTACAGCTTGCCATACTTTTCATTACTCAGCAGGTCAAGCATTGACTCACTGCTCGATTCCCGACAAGCTGACCCTGTAGAGGTGCTGCTCAACCTTGGGTTTGGAGGTCATGTGCAGGACGGAATTTCGCGTATTCCGGAAAGGTTCCTCAAACCCTCACAGGTATCGGTACATTCTTGTATTGTCTCGGTGCTTTTTTACATGCTGGTACTACAGGAACACCTAAATTTCTAACTTAACTGTCTAGACCTTTTTTAACCACTAATATTGATAAAGTTTACAATAGTGGTAGTCAGTGTGTATCTTGATCATCTTGCTCATTACAGGTGGTCACCTCATTTACCCATTATACTGTAGCTGGAGTAAGGTTGCAAACACACACGTCATAAGAGAGAGAGATTGGTGTGAGGCTGAGGTTGCAGATTGAGAAATTGAGAATGAGAAATGAGAAATGAGAAATTTCTCATTGAGAAAGCACCGAACTGCTTGTCACTATCAGCTAGTTACAGTAGTAATGACTTCTTAATCCCACAATTTAGACTGAATTTAGACCGAATTTATCCTAATTTGCCACCGTGGTCGAGTTCAGATGGCTATGAGGGAGGTGAACCTAATGAATCCCTTCTGCAGTGAGCCTTATAACCTAGTTTTAGTTCACATTGACCTTGGATAGTTACATGGCATGTGCAAGATACTCTAATGTGTTTGAGAGGCTTTTTAAACAAAAATATATTCTTAAAAGAAACAATGCCAAAATATGTACGTTTTGCAAGTTGAAAAGTAGACATCATGCAATTTTGATAACTAGAAAATTCTCGCATTTTGTCAGCTGATCTCATGAGATAAAAATTTTATCAAATGTGTTGATGGTTGTTCTTTAGTATTAAAATATGAAGCTTGATCAAAGATTGTAATAAGATAATTGTAATATTTTAAATATGAGAAGACTGTAAGCCTAACAAACATTTTGTGTTTATGAGAAATATTATGAACTGATAATTGTCACTGGATAATTTTAGGATATTGATGTGCTGAGCAAAAACATGCTTTATATTATTGTTTTATCCATAAAAGAAAATGTTAAGAACAGACAAAGATAAAAATAGAAAGTACAGCAAAACTCCCTTCACTTGTTTCTTTGTGCTTCCTTCAGTGATGTGTCATTGTAATTTTAAAGTACGGTATTTAAAGTTCCTAGTGCTTACTTTTATCCTGCCAGCATGCATCCTTCACTTACACCATCCTTTCTTACGCTCATGCATTCCAGGTACAGTATTAGAAAAGATCTTCTAAGTATGATACATTTCTTTGATCTCTAAATGGTTTCTGGTAGCAAATCTAGAATCTTTGGGTTACAGGTGCCTGGCAACGACATTGAAGAGTTCATAAGATCTGAGGATGAAATATCGGAAATGATGGAGACGGCAGAGATGATGCCTGGAATTGACCCACAAGGTATGTGTGCATTCAGCTTTCATATATTATCACATGATCGCTAAGCTTGATAATGCTGTAATGCTAACTGTGCTGAGCATAAGCCGGAAAATGATCTCATGATGACTGTAGTGAGCATCAACTGTGAATACTCACATGGTGGCTCTGATGAGCACCAAGCCAAGTTTCCTGCCATTGTGACTGTTAGGGTCACTTGTGATCTAGCCGTGACAGGTATTGGCTTGTTCTTCTCCCGTATCCCTGCTTGAGACCAGGCTGCCCTTGTTATAGCTGTCTGTGAGCTTCTGTAAGCTAAGGCCCCTCAGTTGCTGCCTCAGTGTGATTTCTAGGAAAAATCTGGGACTCAAAGGCTAAGCCAGTGCCGGAGAGAACCAGCCAGAACATTTGAAAAAAAATTGTCAACAATCCTGTGACCCAAAGCGTTATGTGCGCCAAGCGTCATCTGTACTATTGAATAGGGGATTCCAAATGACAGTATCAAATCCAAAACTTGAAAACAGAACGTGATCCGGTGGCCCCTAGGCAGAGGTGTCGTCCAGACGTCCGCTCGTTGTTAAGGTTGAACCAGGAATCCAGCACTGGTTGACATCAGGCATCATGACTGAGGGTTTGTTTACATGGGAGCCAGCAGCTCCAGTGGTGCTGCCATCTGATGGTAGGCAGCATTAACTGGTAGGCGGGGGCAATCCACCCAGTCACTAAATGACTGGGTGGCTTGTTTGCCGTTTTGTTTTGCTTACTCTTTTTTGATCTTGGTGTTGTCTGTTTTGTTTCACTGCTTTCTGGAAGCTTGATCAGGGTGATCATGTGTCTCCTACTTCCTGTGCCTCCGAGAGGACCAGGTTTTGGCCGCTGGTTCTCGGTTAGCTGTTAAATACTCTTTAGGCATGATGTGATTTAACAATGTAATTACCTAAGTGTAATTACCTAAGTGTAGTTACAGGATGAGAGCTACGCTCGTGGTGTCCCGTCTTCCCAGCACTCTTTGTCATATAACGCTTTGAAACTACTGACGGTCTTGGCCTCCACCACCTTCTCACTTAACTTGTTCCAACCGTCTACCACTCTATTTGCGAAGGTGAATTTTCTTATATTTCTTCGGCATCTGTGTTTAGCTAGTTTAAATCTATGACCTCTTGTTCTTGAAGTTCCAGGTCTCAGGAAGTCTTCCCTGTCGATTTTGTCAATTCCTGTTACTATTTTGTATGTAGTGATCATATCACCTCTTTTTCTTCTGTCTTCTAGTTTTGGCATATTTAATGCTTCTAACCTCTCCTCGTAGCTCTTGCCCTTCAGTTCTGGGAGCCACTTAGTAGCATGTCTTTGCACCTTTTCCAGTTTGTTGATGTGCTTCTTAAGATATGGGCACCACACAACAGCTGCATATTCTAGCTTTGGCCTAACAAAAGTCATGAACAATTTCTTTAGTATATCGCCATCCATGTATTTAAATGCAATTCTGAAGTTAGAAAGCATAGCATAGGCTCCTTGCACAATATTCTTTATGTGGTCCTCAGGTGATAGTTTTCTATCTAGAACCACTCCTAGATCTCTTTCTTTATCAGAATTCTTTAAAGATTTCTCACATAATATATAGGTTGTGTGGGGTCTATGTTCTCCTATTCCACATTCCATAACATGACATTTATTAACATTAAATTCCATTTGCCAAGTGGTGCTCCATATACTTATTTTGTCCAGGTCTTTTTGAAGGGCATGACAGTCATCTAAATTTCTTATCCTTCCTATTATCTTAGCATCATCAGCAAACATGTTCATATAATTCTGTATACCAACTGGTAGATCATTTATGTACACAATAAACATCACTGGTGCAAGAACTGAACCCTGTGGTACTCCACTTGTGACATTTCTCCATTCTGATACATTGCCTCTGATTACTGCCCTCATTTTTCTATCAGTCAGAAAATTTTTCATCCATGATAGAAGCTTACCTGTCACCCCTCCAATATTTTCCAGTTTCCAGAACAACCTCTTATGTGGAACTCTGTCGAAAGCCTTTTTTAGGTCCAGATAGATGCAGTCAACCCAACCATCTCTTTCCTGTAATATCTCTGTGGCTCGATCATAGAAACTGAGTAAATTCGATACACAGGATCTTCCAGATCGAAAACCATACTGTCTGTCTGATATTATATCATTTCTCTCTAGGTGTTCTACCCATTTAGTTTTGATTAGTTTTTCCAATACTTTCACTATTACACTTGTCAATGATACAGGTCTATAATTGAGGGGGTCTTCCCTGCTGCCACTTTTGTAGATTGGAACTATGTTAGCCTGTTTCCACCCGTCTGCTACGATTCCTGTACACAGGGATGCCTGAAAGATCAGGTGAAGTGGAATGCTGAGCTCAGATGCACATTCTCTCAGAACCCATGGTGAAACGCCATCTGGGCCAGCTGCTTTGTTCTTACCGAGCTCCTTGAGCATTTTTTCCACTTCGTCTCTAGACACCTCTATGTGTTCTATGTTGTTCTCTGGAATTCTTATTGTATCTGGTTCCCTAAAGATTTCATTTTGTACAAACACACTTTGGAACTTTTCGTTTAGTGTTTCACACATTTCCTTTTCATCTTCCGTGAATCTATTTCCCATTTTCAACCTCTGAATATTATCCTTTACCTGCAATTTGTTGTTTATGAATTTATAGAATAGACCTGGTTCTGTTTTACATTTGTCCGCAATCCCTTTTTCAAAATTTCTTTCTGCCTCTCTCCTCACTGCCGTGTAGTTGTTTCTCGCATCTTTGTATCGCTGGTATGTTTGGGGGTTCGGCCTCTTCCTGTATTGATTCCATTTTTGTGTCTTTCGGTCTCTAGCCCTCTCGCAATTTCTATTGAACCAATCCTGTTTCCTAGTTCTGCATCTCTGTTTTGGTATAAATTTTTTTGTGCCTTTATCATATATTTCACAAAACTTGCCATACATCTCATTCACTTCCTTGCCTAGCATCAAGTCTGTCCAATTATACTCACTAAAAAAATTTCTAAGGTCACCATAATGTCCTCTCCTGAAGTCTGGTTTTTCAACTGCTTCAACCTCCTTATTTTCTTCCAGCTTATAACGCATTGCATACTTTATTCCCAAAAAGACATGGTCACTTTTACCTAAGGGAGGAAGGTACTGAATGTCAAATATCTCTTCCTCCTTCCTGGTAAATATCAAATCTAGCATGGAGGGAACGTCCCCTTCCCTCATCCTCGTAGCTTGTTTAACATGTTGATACAAGAATGTTTCCAGGATGAGGTCTACAAATTTACAGGTCCAAAAATCTTCTGTTTTAGCTTCATATGCTTCCCAGTCTATGGATTTCAAGTTGAAGTCACCGACTATCAACAGTCGTGATCTATCGTTATCCGCTCTCGCTATAATCTCTCTCATTATTGTTATAAGACCTTCACGTTAATGTGGAGCTATCTCAGTGCAGCTAGCAGCAGGGAGCCACCCTCTTTCCCTGAAAAAGAGATATTTATAATTACATTCAATGCGGGTTATTTATTTGTACATTTTCTTAAATTTTGTAGTGTTTTTAAGTTTTATGCTGTATATTAGAGAGGTGTCAAATGAAAACAGAACACTGCTGAAATCATACCATTATACTAAGCAATAATGATGAAAGATGAAATTTTTCCACATAACCTCCTTGCTTTTTTGACAAACATGTGGGTCAGCATTTGACCAGTGGACCAAATCCTAGTCAGAGAAGATGTCAGTGATCATGGTGTTGCTGTTATAACATCTGTGTAATGTCATCACTGGTGTGGAACTTGTTTTCATCAAGCGTTTTCTTCAGGAGGGTAGAAGAGGTACCGACTGTTCGTGGTCTAGGCTATATATACCTCAAACCCCAGTCCTGGGAGCCTTTCATCAACAATCCATGATGTTTGTTCTTCATGGTTAAATGGAGCTCTTCACTCTGAAGGGTGAAGAGCTACTGTCACTACTGTCCTTACTGATAGTAGATACCCTAAAAAAAGAAATGGGCTATGATTTACCCTGTTCTTGTAGATGACCACCATAACCATGTTTATCAATGGAATGACCTCAACTTCTTGAAACAGCAAGTAAGGGGGATTTACGGCTGCAACCCGTCCTCAGACCAAATTCATTCCATCCAGCGGTCAACCCCAAAGGCGCATTCGTAAATTTTAACATGTCGTTCATTCGAAACAGGAATTTTTTCAAATATAAATTAATATTATTTTATATTACCATATTGTATCTATTTAGGTACTGGCTAGGTTAGGTTTTTTAGGTTCTGTTGGCGATTATTTGTATTTGTAGTACGTGAGTGAAGCAATAACAGCGTTGTGCTGAACAAATTTCGTTAGTGAAGCACTTGTTCCGGAAGTGTTCAAATGTCATCAGTTTTGAGTCATGTGTAAACCGTTTTAATTCATAAACAGGGGATTTGGCGGGTGCATGGAATGGAATTTGGGTCTTTGTTTGGACAACCGGCTGACTGACTAATCTTGAGGTTATCTTGAGATGATTTTGCAGCTTAGCGTCCCTGCAGTCTGGTCCTCGACCAGGCCTCCTTTTTGTTACACGCCCCCCAGGAAGCAGCCCGTAGCAACTGTCTAACTCCCAGGTACCTATTTACTGTTAGGTGAACAGGAGCATCAGGGTGAAAGAAACTGACCATTTGTTTCTGCCTTCACTGGGGATTGAAACCCAGAACCTCAGTACTACGAATTCCGAGTGCTGTCAACTCGGCTGTCCCCCTGACTGTTCTATGATTGTTTTGATTTCTATAAAGTTGTGACGACAAGTCATCACCAGTGATAATTCTGAGCAGAAATTTGCTACTGTCAATATGGGACAGGAAAATCTGTGCAACTCATAGTCACAATGGTTTTGATGTTTTTGTTTAACTAATGCATAGCCCATTTAGAACACTTCTCTGGGGCCAAGAGCAGTATGCAGTATATAATAAACATATGATATGATTAATAGGGATACAATTATCTCCCACCAAG